AGCACCTCAGACTGAGGAAGTCTCTTGGATGAGACGAAACGTTTCTAGATTTTTTTGCTTTGTTTCGTTTTTTTGTTTTTTTTTAATGTCCAGAGGACCAGATTGAACTTTTTTGGATTTTTCTACCTGGATTATTGAGCATGCATCAGGATGTGTTAGTGAGCATTTCTACTTTACCGAGATAATCCATCCACCCCACAGGTGTGGCATGTCAAGATGCTGATTAGACAGCAGGATTATTGCACAGGTGTACATAACATCTGGCCAAAGCTAGAGCCAAGATAAACCTCAACGTGCTAGAGGGAGAGCAACAAGGTATAAGTCTCTTTTCAATTGTGGAGTAATTATTTGATTTCTATTTAACTTACAAGATAATTTTGTTGTTGTGACTTGGTGCTATATAAATAAACTGAATTGAATTGAAGTGAATTAACAAACTGGATGATCATTATCGTCCTCCTGCAGCAGTACTGTACCAACCCCCATAGCACTAGCATCAATTTGGAGTTTGAGATTGGGAGCGGCAAGTAAGGCGGGCTTTAACAGTATCAAAGGACTGTTGACACTTAGGTGTCCAGACAAAGTTGGCACTGGGACTAAGCAATTTGGATAGTGGATGGGCTACAGACCAGAAGTTGCGGCAAAAACTTCCATAATAGTTGGACATACCCAGAAACCTGTGCAAAGCACTATAGGTTTTGGGAATGAGATAATCAACTATGGCCATTACTTTGGCATCAACGGGTCGCACCTGACCTTGGCCTACCTCTCTACCTACCGTATCTTATCCAAACTCGCACTTGGCAAGGTTAAGAGTTAGTGATGTCTTGCCAAGATGAGTGAACACCTGGTCAAGCACTTTTATGAGTTCTGCCCACAATAGTGTAAATAATAAAGTAATCTAAGTAGGCATTACAATTGTCTACACCACTTAGGACAGTGTTGACAAGATGCTAGAATCTAGTTGGCGCGTTATGCCAAAGGCCATAAGAGTGTATTGGAGGAAATGGTCAGGAGTGACAAATGTAAAAATGTCAGAGGCACAAGCAGTAAGAAGAACTTGCCAATAGCCTTTTAGTAGATCAAGCTTTGCAATGCAATTGGTTAAACTAATATCCAGGTGCATGCTCATTCCAGGTAGAAAAATCCAACAAAATTAAGTCAGGTCCTCTGGATGGTTTCTTTTTGCTAAACTAATGTTATCAGTGCACTCCTCCATACACAACATTCTCTTTATTTTGGGTTGGTATTCAAGGTGCCTATGTTCCGCCTTCTCACAGGCTTCCAATATGAGACGGGCTAGTCTGACTTTGTCAGGCTCAGTCTCTGGAACCAGTGCCTGTAGATGGAAGAGGGTCAAACCAAGGTAAGGTGAAGGAAGTTTTTACCTTTTCTCTCTGGACAGTCGGAAGACCTAGGTGCATCTTGTCCCCACTCCAGTCCAGAGCACTAGCCTGTTCAGAAAGGGTGTGGCTTACCGCAGCTTGTTCAGGTGCCTCAATTAACTCCAATTCAGTCAGGTTAGCCACAACAAGGGATTTAAGATCCTTCATAAGAATATTCTTTGGCAAGGCAACTTTATAGTGTCCAGCTAGTTTAAGTAAGTCATCTTTGTGACAGCCATCAATAATACTAAAAGAAGTATTAAAAAAAACAATAACCCCCAAATCAAATAGGACTGACATGGTTGAATCTTCAGACCACACCCAACACAAAAATAATCCAAAGAACAAATCACTACCACCTTAGGTCAAAAAAGTAAAAGGGAATAGATCCCGGACAAGCCCCCATTTATGTTACATCTGTTCTCATTGTGGATGCAACATAAAAGACAAAACCCAAAAGTTTGTTAAAACAAAATAGCTGACAATTTATTTTTACTGTCCACGTAAAAGGCAATAAAAAAAACCAGCAATAATTTGCGTTCTTCTCAACAATGAACTGAAAACAGCAAATAACTTCTAATCTAAAAAATAAACAGACTAATAGGACAAAAGTGAAAAATCCAAAAGAAACTAAATACACAATCCCAACTAACAAAGAGCAGAAACTAAAACAAGTGGCTCAACCATGAGAATGAAATCTCTCCCAACAAAGTGTCTTGGCTACATAGGGTACAACATAACAGAACCAAAAGCACATAAGTATAAACCATAATTCAGCATAACAACCATCACTGGCATACTGCACATGAAGAACAGCAGCACTGACTATGACTGAAGGGTAGGTCGTCTGGCTTTTAAAAGCTCACTCTCTTCAAGTGCACCTCCTCGTTGGCAGCCATTGTTGGATGGACTGTGCTGTCTACAGCTTCTCCAGCCAATCATCTTTGGACAGGTAAGCCTTGAAAGCCTTGGTCGAGAGTCCACCAGTAGAGGGAGGCAGCTAACCAGAAGCTGGAGATGAACTACCAGGAGGAAACTTTTCACATAAGTCAATACTTACAGAAAAAAAAAGAAAACTACAAGAGGAAAAAGACAGTACAGTTCTGAGGCCGTAACACAACAAGATCTAGAAATGATGTTTCTTGCTGTGGGCCTGAACTCAGAGTGGACTGAAGGGAAGTGAAATCTTTCCTGTGACGTGATGAGACACAAACTGACCAGTTCTCATTTGCTTCTATGATGGTGTTTTGGTGCCCGGACTGATGGCACATCTAATAAAGTCATTATTTATGGTCATTTGCTTCAGCAAACTCTAGACAAACACATGCTGGCTTTTAGATTTTGGCTTTTTTTATTTCAGGAATGAGAATACCACACCACATCCTGCATGTGCTGTTGAGTGAAGGGAATTTGATAAAGGGAACTTGCAGCTCAAATTAAGGTCAAACAAGGCTGTGGAAAAATATGTTAGTTAAAAGTATAACAAACCTCAGCAAACTGACAACATATACTTCATGCAACACTATGATAAACATTCATTCATTCAACCTTTATTTATACAGCTTAGTCTCATTGAGCATCGAGACTCATTTATAAGAGAGACCTGTTTTAGGCAAAGAACACAGATGAGGTACAGACAACAATAGACAATCTTATAAAAAGCATATAAAATGAAAAGTAAATAGAAGAAATGGTATGAAAACAAAACAACAAAAAAGCTACATTATAAAGATGCTTTTAAGATTTCAATATAAAAACAGGAATTAGCTTTTCACACTGCCTGGATTTTATTATGGAGGTTGCATTTCTCTGATCAAACTCAAAATGTTTTTATTTTGTGCAGTTTGTCTACATTTTTTCAACACTGTTTATGGTTTCATTCATTTTGCTGCTTGCAGGTGAAGCTATACAACAAACGCAGGCCCAAGATTTATGAGGCTGCATCTTTTAATCATGTGTACTTTTGTTCCTGCTTTTGTAGTTTCCCTGTATGAGAAGGCTGAAAATCCCCCGTGAGTGTGTAAAGTGAGGGGGAGTATTTGGTAGAATCCAAGCTGCTGTCACACAAAGTGCGTTAGAAATGCTGAAAAAGCAAACAACAACAAAAAAAAAAAACACTGCTGCAGGAAATAGTGGTCAAGAGAATAACCACAAAGTATTTTAATGTATAAACATAAACTGATGGAACAATATCTCTAATCTGTGGTATTATGAGACTGTGTCTTTTTGGACTAATGCATTTATTGATTTTAAATATTATAAAAATAATACAAAATCTATAAGCATATCTTCTTGTGTTACAACTCCCAAGGTGGTGCATAGCTTTTGTTAATTTATTTATTTACTTTACTTTAAGGTTTTGTAAGTCATGAATCGGTTTGTTGAAGCAGGTGAGGAAAGAGCAGAAAATACTCATTGTCTTCGCCAAGGGGCGACATACTCCCCACTATCTGTCCTTACTCCTCTGCTCCTCTTCTCCTCCGGCGTTGTCCTGTTCTAGTCCCGGCGTCAGTGACGTCACCAACGAGAGCGCGATCAATGTCGAGGGAAAAACTAGATCACACCGGAAATCAAGAGGTTCCTTCAAAGTTAAAGGTTGGGTTCTCCCTGCTCAATGTAATAAATCATGATTACAAAAATGTATAAATGGAAACAAAAGAAAAACACATTTTGAATACAAAATGAATCTTGAGTAAAAACATTTCCTAATGCATGACTTATTGCTTTAGATAGTCTGATTTTATTGTTTTATTTTTTACTGTTAAACTCAAGCAGCTCTAAGAAGACTTGATCGCACTGGGCTGTGAGAATGTTTCTGAAATGTCTTGAGATGTGAGGGTTCTTAATTTCCTCACGTGTCACATGGCCTAGCTGTTGAGTCACTGGACATTTGAGCAAGTAAAAAAAAAAAGGGATTTGCACAAGTACTTTGAAAACACAGCTTCTCTTCTGTCATTTTTCTATTATATTGTCTGAATATCTCATTTCGAAACGCATTTCTTGTTTTTAATTATCCTGAAATGAACCCTAACGCCATACTTTTATTTTGAAACAACAACGGAAGTGAGCTGCTAAATCCGGTTACCTTGAACGACGTGAACGAGGTGGAGGCAGTCAGCCTGCGACGGTAAAACAAGCGAGGACAGGTTTAAAGAGAACAAGCCTAGTCCATATTTTAAAAGAAAGGAAAAAAAGAATTAGTAAGTTGAAGAATATCTGGATGTGAACGCCATTGTTGTCACCTCCGCGCGAGCCCAGTTACTTATTGGCTCGCGGCTTCTGGTGGTTTCGGCGTGTCGCTGTCTGCCCATTCTCACTGGCGTCTACACTAAGGTAAGCCAGCAAACCGCACATGAACTGTGCAAGTTGGTGCGCTTTGACTCAGTACTTTATTTACTTAGTCTTTTGGGGGCTTTTGCACTTTTTGCCGTAATTTCTCTTGAAGAAAAAAGTCAAAAGTGTAAAAGTTTGGACTAAAATGGCATCACGGACAGAGTGGTGTCACTTTCTCGCTTTGCTCTTTGTCCACTCGGATGAGGTTTAATTACACATTGTGCCCGAGCCGCGGTTAACCTCAAATCTGTGCGTGTTTAAAACTGCATTTTATCTGTTTTCTCTTTTATCTACACCGAAAGGAGAATTTCTGAATTGACACATTTCTGTTTTGCCAATCTTTGTTCGTGGACACTTATTAAAGGCCTGTGAGAGAAGAAGGCGAATCCAGGTCTGGAGACGTCTCTGTTCAACAAAACATCTGTTTCATCTCACTCACTATCCACACTTCTGTCATTTGTATGAGATGTAAAACGTGTTCCCTAATTCATTCATCATTATTGTGTCCTTCCGTGTGTAGGAAGCAACAGCTCGCACAATGACCCTTCACTTGGAGATTCACCACAGATCTGGTGCCACATGTCGAGCTTGTCAATGTTTCTAGTGGCTTTTAGTTGCAACTGCACCATGTTTCCGTGTCACATCAATGCCCAGGGGGGTAATAGATGCATTGTCTCTTTGTGCTTCCAAGTATTTACCTGTGAGTGCTCAGTGTTTATCTAGATGCCTTCAGATTCCCACGGCGTGATTTCAGTTTAGATGAATGGCTGTACACAGAGAACATGTTTTTTTTAAAGGCAGGTAACTTGGATTGCACACCCACCCTGCAGACACACCCTCGGTGCTATCACACACTAGAGCAAGGTTCACCCAGCAGTGGCAGGTAGGTGGAAACCGCACGGGATGGACTGACGGTGGATTACAGAAACTTTCCTTACGTCATGTCTAGAGGGGAATAAAATGTCCCTCAGTACACCTGGCATTTTAACATGCTTATTTCCATTTTAGAAACTAGAAGTTTAATTCTAAATTTATTTAATTCCTAACAGTGTTGACTGATTTTAAGCTGCACATCCGAGTAAAAGAAAATTGTCGTAGAAGCACCAATGCTCTTTTTTAAAAAGGTTTTCTTTAATATTTATTAGTATGATCAGACACGATAAGCTTCTCTAATTAAAAAGTTTGTGTTTAAGCAGCAGTGTTGTCTTCTATGCCATATTTCCTTTTCATATTCCTCTTATCGTATTTATTTCATCGTTACAATAAATTGAATTTTCCAGTGCTTTTGATTAACTGGAAGAAAAAGGAACACGCTGCAACGTTTGAATTCATTCTTATTAGGGATGCACGATATTATCAGCATGGTATCGGTATCGCCGATATTAGCGTTAAAGTTCAATATCGGACATCGGCCATTACATCAAAATAACTCGCCGATATAAAAGGCGCTGTTTTTGCCTGCAGCGGCAGCACAACGTGATGACATCGTGGCGGCGGCGCAACACAATGACGTCACGCACGCCTACCTGATCTCACGGCGGAGAGGAAAATTCAAAATGTCGATGGTGTGGAAGTTTTATTTTTCTTTGGTGAGGATGTCAGATTCTGAAGATTTATGGACTACGTTGAGTCTCGCTACATCGTCCCCAGTCAGATATTTTTCCGATGTAATGTATCCGAGTTACAAGCCGTCATTTCAGACGTCATTGAGAAGCTAATAGCTGATAGCACTTGGGTGAGTTACCACAGACATCTGGACGTCATGTTAGCCCCGTTAGCATGATTAGTCTTACAGCACAATGGATAGACAAAAACTTTGAACTTAAAAAGGCCGTCCAACATTTTTCAGTCAGGTCATCTGGACAGTTTCTTTTTTTTTTGTGCTGAAACGTTTCGCCTTCGGTCCGGAAGGCTTCATCAGTCAAGGAAAGTTTTGTTGTGTGTTTCCTCGACTGATGAAGCCTTCCGGACAGAAGGCGAAACGTTTCAGCACAAAAAAAAAAAAAGAAACTGTCCAGATGACCTGACTGAAAAATGTTGGATTGTATACCTGGATCATTGAGCAAGGACTTTGTTGTTAAAAAGTCTGTCCTTCATGCACAAGAGTGCAGAGGATCCCCCGCTGCAGCTAGGAACCTGGAACAAGCCTCCACATGTGAGACAGCATCACAGGTGACTAATGCTAATAAATAACGTTTAACACTTTTCATTTAAGTCAAAGTGCTATGCATATCTAATGGCTGTTACTGAATAGATGTCACCAGCTCTTACAGCTGTTGCACAATTTAATAAGCCTAAATAAGAGGGCTATGTTCTGACAAAGGAAAGGATATAAAATAAAGGTATCGGATATCGGCCACAAATCCAATATCGTGCATCCCCAATTCTTAGTTTCTTTTTCAAATCCTTTCTGATACTCTACCCTGATATTTGTTTCAACAAGTGAAAATGTCTCATCTGATCTCTTAGACTGTGCCTGAACCTTGTGGTGTGAATTTAAAACGTTTCCTTGAGTGCTAGGTTTTGCCATGCATGCTGTCACCATTTTATCAGCCGAATAGGTCGTAGGATTAAAAAAAAACCCCCACAAACGCAGCAGGTTAAAATAAAAATAATTTAGGAGGTACCCAAGTCTTTTCATTGTGACTTCATATTTCCTCCACTAATGTTGCCTTCAGGTCGTTGCTGCAAATTAATCAAGTCAAAGGCTGTGAAAGTAACTGGTATTTTAAGTTAGCAATATTGGTGCTCACTAGAGTTGGTTGGTCATAGACAATACTGAATGCTGGGGTATTTAGAAAAATACTAAATAAAACGATCCTTTGAATTTTGTTCAATCTATAATACCACGTGTGTGCTAATCGGCTCTGTTATGTCAATGTTACAAATCCTACACACAAAGATCAACATGAGTTTATTCTGGTCTTGATCTTTTTGATAGCCTAAAACCTTTTAGGTGTGTGTAGTGACAGAACTTATAAAATTACTGAAGTCCACTCTATGTACAGGCCATTAAAGTAAAGGTTGAATAGGAAAAGAAACTGGAACTCCCTGAAAAGGTGACGTTGGACAGTCTTTTACAATCAGCTGGTGTAGTGAAGGTGGTTCAGTCGCTTTGTTCGACAACATGATGGACACACATAATCTAAGGAAGTAGGATTAAACATTTATTAGAAATCACGCCAATGTCCTAAATTACATGCAGTTATGAGATATCACAAATCTCTCTAGAAATACTTTTTTTTTTGTTTCATTCAACCTTTATTTATACAGGCGAGTCATTGAGCCACGAGGACTCGTTTACAAGAGACCTGTTCCAGACCGAACTTATAAAGTACAACAATAACAGTAAAAAACTACAGTAAAAATGCAGCTAAGAGTGTATAAAACAATAAATCAGGGTGCCGTAAAACAGTGAAATACTAAAAACAAGATCATATCTGCCTTAATTTTTCCATTGACCTTATCAATTGTAATACCCCATATTGGTGGATAATTTAAGGAAAACTTATAGGTATGAAAAAATCATAGATATACAGTACCATACATTACACAAGGTTGAATATAAATTATTATTAACCATTATTTAACCAGGAAAATCCCATTGAGATCACACATGTCTATTAGGAGAGGCCAGGGTCTGTTATTTTTTTACACCTTACATGTAATGATTTAGAACATGTTGGATGCATTAAAATGAACAAATACTGGAGGGTTTTTCTAAACTGCAGTAACTTTTGAATTACCATTTTAACTTGGACGTATGACAAATTGTTTAACAAGTGAATAAATGGGGACTCGTTTTTTCATTTAGTGACATGAGTTATTTGTAACATTCATAATGTAGGTGTTTACATACAGTTGTTGCTTAACCCAAGTAGGAAGTTGTCAGATGAGCAACATCTTTGCAAATTAAATGATAATCCAGTTTCTCTTTTTTTCTACATTTAGTTGCACAATAACAAGATTGGACTAAATTGTCGATCTTTCTCCCTTTCTTGATGGGTTTCACACAGCGGGGGATTAAATGCCACACGATTATTACTCAGTTTTATTCTGGGATTTAAAAAAAAAATAGCAATTCACATAACGTAAATTAACTTTGAGGGTTTAAATCTGTTGTATTGGAGTTTTTCTAAAAAATAAAATATTCTTACATTTAAGGGAACATCATTCAAACATTATTATTGATATTATATAAAGTGGGAAGTGAATTTTAAAATTAAGTGGGTTTAACATTCATATGACATTTTTTAGACCCTTTATGCTTTATTTATATTTATTTGGGCATAGTTAACAAAGTTCCTAGTTCAGTCAGGTCATCTGGACGGTCTCTTTTTTTTTTTGTTGAGACGTTTCGTCCATCCAAAGGACTTTATCAATCTGAGGAGCCACAAACAAACTCAGTCCCACAAGCAGCTCACTCCCATAGTGGATCAACCAGTTTGCTGGTGATAAGATGGTTTCTGGGGCCTTCCTTCTCCCTCGTCAACTCTGAGGCAGCCATAACCAAAGTGGCTCAAAACATCAGTTCATTTTCAATAATCCAGGAAGAAAAATCCAACAAAGTCCAGTCAGGTCATCTGGACGGTTTCCTTTTAAGGATGAAACATCTCAACAAAAAAGAAACTGTCCAGATGACGTCACTGAACTTTGTTGGATTTTTTTTTTTACCTGGATTATTGGGCATTAACTTTGAAAATGCCTAACCATTTTCTTCCTGTTTTCAGGAACTAGTAGTTTAAAAAGCACTTAAAGTAAATTATCTTTTTTCTAATTTAGCGTTTTTGCAAAATGGAAGGTTCCATGTTTGTCTCAGGAAATCATGAGCTCTGTCGGAGGGAAATGGGAATTAACATAGAAATATATGAGGGGTGGTCAGAAGTTAAAACAATACTCATAAAGATCATCATATTAGCAAAATAAGCCATTTTATTGGTATTATATTCATCTGTAATATGGGAAATGGTTATTCATAAACTGACAGAACATGTAAATAT